GTTAATTCTAAAAAATGTTATATTTCGACACGTTTTGATATTAAATAAATTTTTTTTAGAATTAACGTGTCCATAATACATATAAGAGTCCATAATAAGTCATATAACCAATCAAATATTTAAATTTCATAACATAAATATAAATAATTTTTCGTACTTTGTTAATTTTTCATGTCAAATTTCATAATAGAAAAAAATTAATTTATAAATTATTTCTTTTATATTTAGTTAACAAAATAAAATTAAGATTACAAACAAAACAAAAAAACGTGTCCGAGCGTATTCGAGCGTTGACCGCATGTCGAAAAAAATTGACTGCGTGTCGGAAAAACGTGTCGGAGAATTGATCACGTGTCCCTAAATGTTGACCGCATGTCGAAAAAAGTTGACTGCGTGTCGGAGAATTAATCACGTGTCCCCAAATATTGATCGCGTGTCGGACGCGTGTCCGTACGCAAATTTTAAAAAAATTTGCATGTCCGTGCTTCCAGATTTTGGAGATCCAAACTTAAAATTTATAAAAGGGTTTAACTTTTCTTATGTTGTAGGATTGTAGGAGAGAAAAAAAGTAGGGAGAAGTTAAATGTGGGTCCCATATTTTATATTAAAAAAGAAAAGAAGAATTATTTGGCACGGAAAACGAATTTTTGTAGGAAAATGAGAGTATCTCATGTGGCATGAGAGTATTATTTCCCTTTATAGAATGGATAAAAGTTAGGAACGCGTAGGCAATCAGTTGGCGTTTGGGAGCACTTACCTCAAAATGAACTCGAAATATGCATAAAACTTGTGTACTTTGCAAGAATTGAAGTCACGGTAAGGACTAGCTGTTCAAGAATCCTCGTAAGACACTCTAAGGGGGTGTTTGGTTCAAGTTTTTGGAGAGGATTACCGGTAATTCTTCTTTGGTAAATGTAATTATCACGTTTGGTAGAAGGAATAAATTACGATTTCCGGATATCCAAGGATTACCGGTAATTTGATTTATAAAGAAAAGTCACTATTCAGATTACCAAAAATAATATGGTAATTCGGAATACCAATCAGAATACCAAGTAAAGGGAAAGCACAACAATAAATTTTGAGATAAAAATACCCCAATACACATAAAAATCTAGACCCAATCTATCAATTACAAAAGTAAAAATAGTTTGAGGTTATTTTTGTAAAATAACCTCATATTCCAAGTCATATTTCGTTATAAACCAAATATGGAATCAGTAATTTTTACCCAGTATTCCCGATAATATTTTGGCGAACCAAACACATCTTTCGTAAGATTCCAAGTAAACTCAATTTCTACTGAATTTCCATTAATCATGATTTCCGGTCACCAAAAAATTTTTCCTGTACCAAACAAGGAATTTCAAGAGATGAAAAAAGAAGCAAGAAATGCAAATCATCTATTCTTCAGAAGCTTCTTTCTTTTTTTGTTTGTGCTTCGATTGATATAGACATTAACTAGTAGATAGCAAGGAAAGAGAGTGAGTGAATTCATTCTAAGACACAGGACATATCTCTGTTTTTACTCTTTTATTAAACCCTTAAGCTCTTTATTTTGACACTTTGACCTGTACACTTCATCATTTTTTTAATTATTATTTAAAAAGGCTATCGCTGTTAATATTATCTAATTTCTTAATTTTAGGCTCTATTTGGTAAATGGAAAAAATGCATGATTGTATATTTATACTATATGGTATATTTTTATCATAAGTTTGGTATAGCATATGGTAGGGAAAAAGTATTAGTCCACCCAATTTTATCCAATGATTATAGAATAAACTTATTAGGTGGGCTGATAATGCTCGATATGATTATTTTGTATAAGGTTAAAAAAGAATATATAAAACTCTAATCCCATATTAACCTTAGTCATTGTCGTGGTATTTTTCTCCCTCAATCACCATCCTGCCTCACTCTTAATCCACTACTATCATGTATGATGCATCAAACATTGAATAACATAAAATATTATATAGTGTATAGCTTATTTTATACAATTAAAAGCTTTATCCTGTATAATGTAACTAACATAACCCTAATCATTAAATTCTAGTAAGATGGCCTTGTTTTCTTTCGAACTGTAGTAACTTAAGATAAAGTAGTTTTAACATTTTGATAATATATAATTCCCGAAGCCCTGAATAATACTCATTTTTTTACTATATTTTTACGGACTGTCTCGAAAGGATTACCCATTTCTTAAATTACATATTTTTACCAAACAATGCACGTTCTGACGCACCTAACTAATCTTGATTTCTTATATGTAGCCCTATAGATTCCTAGCCATATTTGAAAAACATTTATAGACCGAATAGAACATTCTAATGCATAGTTAAATCATTGAACGCAGTTTAATTTATTATGCGTAAAACACTAAAATAGAATCCCGTGAAGCGAGCATAACGAGGCTTTTGACAAGTTAAGTTCTTTTCCTTTTTCACCAATGATTGAAGATATTTTATTTCAACTCTATGAATGACTAAGTTTACAATCAAACTAATCAGGGAGACCTTTTTTAAAGGGTAAGTTGTCCTTACCATTTGTATTTAGATCCAATTCTACTATATGCAATATTTAGTTTTAGTTTTAAGTACTTATCAAACAGTGCTACTATACATCAATAAGCTTCAAAGCCTTGATATTTATAAATCAAATCAGTCTTCTCTAGTTAAAGAATTTGTCAAAATGAGTGATGATTGATATAGAGATATTTGTGATAATATGGAGTTTCTCTTTTAAACTTTTTCTGCCGTCCTATCAATAGATTTCGTTCTTAGCTCTGTACATATTTTTCTTTGTTTCTTCAGTTTATAATTAGTTAGAGAGTTCCTAAATATTAACTCTTTAGAATCACCCAAAAATAAACATCTTTAGATATTCTATTATGAGAATGATTATATTGACAATTATTTAATTTTTTTTACAAACTTACATGCTACACTATGTCTAACCGATAAGACATAATATAATTTGTAAGAATTTATAAATATAATATTCTTCTTTCGTTATACATAATTATTTAGACGTAGAACTTAACTTTGATAAGTATTATATGGTGGTGGAACTTAACTTTAAAAACAAAAGCATTATTCAACTGTTTCATGGCAAAGACGAAGGTTGTAGCTCAATTTTGAAAACCCGGCTTAAAGAAAAGTGTTGTTGTAGTTATGATTATTAGACATTTAAGCTTGAGGGAGAGAGAGAGAGAGAGTTATTAGCAGCTGGGGTGTGTCGGTAGGTGGCTGGTTCCCTGGGGTAAGACAACTGACCCCATGCCAGATGCCACCACTCACTCAACTAGCAACAAAATACTTCTATACAGCTCCAATATAGTGAACTATGCTTTTCATTTTTCTTACCCAAATTTTTGACCAAATTCTAAATATATAAATGCTAGAGATTACATTGCACGCGTGTTGCAACTTGCAACCTAATATCTCTTAGGATTGTCGCTCTGTCCTCTTATCTAGATGCACTTTATAAGGTAGATCACAAATCGAAAATAATTTTTTGAAATAAATTATTACCTAATTAAGCGTTTATCCTTAGTGAAAATACAGTTACTATTTCCTCTAGTCTCCCCTGCCTCCCACGAGAAACATCCACAATTTTTTAAAATAAAAAAAAAATAAGAAAATGTTTAAGAGTTATTAACAAGCCTTATAATTTCATAAGGGACTATTAAAACAACTTAAGGCGTGAAAATTATCATAATTCACAAGAGTATAACTAAAGCTAGATTTAGATCAGTTTTTGAAAAAATTATATTTAAAATATAACATTTAAAAAAAATTGAGGAGTTATTTTTTTAACTTCTGAGAAAATTATCAAAACTAATTTTTTTTTTAATTTTATATGGCTTTTTGGAAACATTTTCATATGTCAAGGTTGCATATGTATGCTGATATCAACAGGGCATGGATATCATTCCCCACCTTATTCATACACACACTCCCAGACAGTGTTCAGCTCAGCTAAAGGCTCAACTTAATTGCCCAGCTTATGGTGGAACCAACTTTTTACCCGATTATGGAAAAATTCAGTAATAAAAATAGAATATTAATTGCCTGACATCTTAAAGAATCTTTTGTGGTTTTGCCCCTTGTGCTTTTTTTCTATCAGCTAGAGGTGTATGGAATTAGAGAAAATGGAAAAAAAAAAAAAAAAAAACTAGTGATATGGTGAAAGATATACAACTATGGAGATAAATGAACAATTCGGAGAATAAAGTAAAGAAAAACCATTGGTGTGGTGAATATAGAACAATAGAGGTAAGTGGACAGTTAAGCTTAAATAATAATATTAATTGAAAAACTTTTACGTGAACAATTTTTTTTTACATATATTTATGAGTGATTTGGTGGGAGTTTGGGTGAACAAATTTCTTTTAAATTATATGAAATTACATGGATAATTGTACAAGTTCTTAAAAGATAAGTTGCCTGAAACTAGCATTACTAATAGCTATTACCCGTGCAAGAAAGAACAATCCAGAATCTAGCGATAAATTGACATAGATATGATACTTTTATGTTTATATGCAAAGCATGTACCCTTAGTCCCTTATGGTTAGTTTCGAAGCTTTAGCTTAGTGGTGCCGAAAGTTGGTATTATCACCTCCAAACATTGGTTAGAATTCTTTAAAAAAACTAAACCATTCTAACAACTAAAATAATTATAGTTGATTAACTAATTGTATAATTTCCACTCGAATTCAACCGTTTACTTTTGCTTGACTTTTCCATAAAGAATATCCAAACAATTTCAGAAAAACAAAAAATTAAAAAAAATATGGTATGTCTATCTTTATCATCATCTACAATAGTAACAAAATGAAGATGAGGGTGCAAAATTTATGTAGTCCTCAAAACTCATAAACTATTCTGAAGCATCATCCGACGGTGGGAAATTCATCAAAAACTGTCTTGGTTACAACAGTTTATGTGTAAGAGAGCTTCTTAGTTCTTCATTTAAATCCCATCTTGACTCTTGTGGTCCTCTATTCTATAACCAGCCACCCTACCCTGTACTAATGGAATTTTTGTTGGTTCTGCAGCTAACTACAGCACCTGAGACTGTGAAACTTTGAAATCTCTCTTTCTTTAAAAGGCTTTCTTCATTCTTTTTATTATAGAGAGGCCTGAAATTCTAGATCTCTCTATACATTGTATTCAGTTTCTTCACTTCCTTTCTTTCTGTCCCTTTTTCTTTCTGTTTCATGCTCAAGGATCCTCAATAATCCATCTTAAACCTTGCTTCTGCAACCCCTTCTTAACATCCTGATGAAACTTTCAGATGTTTCAGATATCTATTTTGATATTCCAGCCTCAGTTTCTAAAGCTTCTTTCTCTTCTAGTTCTTATGAAAAACTGATGCTTGGTTATTTCCTAGTAGCTAAACTCCTCCCCCCAAACTTTTAATTTCTGGGTGTTATTCTTCTCATTTGCCAAACAGCTTTTAGCAGAAAAGTACTCTCTTTTTTTTTTTTTCTTGTTTAGTTCTGGGGGTTGTGAAGAGTTGTTAGTAGTGTTACAATTTGTCAATGATGGATCTTTTTCAAAACCCATCTCCTCTAAAATCAAACAGCTTTGAAACAGCTATATGGGCTTCAAAGCTTGTGCTTATGTCCATGGGGGTTATCACCACTCTTATTTTGTTGAAAGTGGCAATAGTCCCATACACATTCCACCTTGTTCTCTCAACTCTTCCTCGCCTTTGGGTCTCAGCAAGAAGCTGCTTAACACTACCATTCGTTTATATCATAGTCAACTTCATCATCATCACCATTGTAGCTTCCTCCAACTTTAACCACAAAAGAAATAACCCCGTATCCTTTTCTGATTCACATGCACCCTCTGATCTTAAGTATACAACAACCACCCACTCAACCGAGCAAGAAAATCAAACCAACGAGTCCAAGGAAGAAGAAAAAGAGGTTGAAGAAGAAGTAGAAGTAGAAGAAGAAGAAGAAGAAGAAAAGGGAGAAGCTAAAGACTCTGGTTTGTCCTGCAACAAATTCATCACTGACCCATCACCGGAAAAATGCACCAACGACTATTTCTCGCCGGATTCCGGTGACAAGGGTGATGACACACTGGAAGCAACGTGGAGGGCCATAATGGAGGGACAGGGGAAAACGATGAAGCCACAGCTGAAGAAGAGTGACACATGGAGTGCAAGGATTGCAAAGGCAGAACCATTCCATGACAAAGGTGAGGGTGATGATGACCCTGTGGCTTGGGCTCAAAAGGAGCTCAAAAAGTCTGAAACTTTCAACGATAGAGCATCGTTGAGGAGGGAAAAGTCCATCAGCCCAGAGGAATTGTATCACAGGGCAGAAGCATTCATCAAAAATTTCAATAATCAAATGAAGTTACAGAGGCTTGAATCTTACCAGCGTTTCAGGGACATGGTCAATCGCAGGGTTTGATGTGGTTAATCTTTCTTTTTCACCAGTCACAGAAAAAATTTAGCAAAATGAGAATCTCTTGAAGTATATTAACCATTTTAAGGTACATCAGTACATGTATAGATATATTATCAATTTTCTATCTTAGCTTAGTACTCAGTTCTCATTGCATTCAACACATTGCCAAATTTATGAATTCTGCAGAATTTCACTGTCAACTATGTTTATTATCATATATAACATATGTGATGTTGTTATAAAACCAATCGGGAGCTTTCGCCTGACAGGTTAATCTTTCGAAATAGTAGTTAAGTACAGCACTTTCGTGTGGAATCTTTTTATGTTTAATTATCAAATGTTTGTTGAGCTTTTTTCTACTTTTTTTTTCTACGAGGTATGACCTCAGAAAGCATTCTATAGAGTTTCTTGTATATACAAATATGTATTTTTATGACACCAAATGTGACAGTGTGATTCCATGGTACATATATATGTCATCTTATATTCTTGAAGTATTGGGCTTTGGCTTTCAACTTCCAACACCTGGCGAAACATAAATAGTAGTTTGCACAATTAAATGAATCTAGCTTTTTGATTAGGCTGTTCCACCTACCGAACACTTGATTGAAGTGTAGAAAAATATAATCTACATTAGTACATCTAATCCCGCATACATATTCCATTTGTCGGTTTCTCTATGTTGACTTTTTTTTCTCCCTTGGCAGGATTTGCTGTGTATATATTTTTGCTGCTGAGACTGTGTGGAGAAGCCAAGACAAGTATCACACATTGTGGACTTTTTTCTCTCGTCAAGTTTCTTGTGACATAGTGGACATAATTTAGTTTCTCCCTAATATGTGTTGCTTTTTCTTTTATCTAGATCTTTCCTGTAGATGCTCTACTAGCTATTCAGAAGTCTAGTGCTTCTTATATTACAAAATGTTTGTATTGATTATATAGTTTGAACCCAAGGCAGCACTATAGTTAAGAGGATTACTTGAATTGAATGTAAAATTTTATGCAGTCCTAATTTGCCAGATAATTTAGCTTTAAAATGTTTGTTGAAAGTTGTTTTTTTTTTTATATTCTTTTAATTACAAGGAAACGGATATACAAGGAAGAGGGAAGAAACCTGGATTTCATACCAATTGAACAAGATCACCCGCACCTACCAATAACAAGTAAGAACCGTACACATGCAAGGACGTGATAGTTGCTACTGTTTATTGATGGAGTGAACTCGTGGAGTTGGACTAGACACTTGGAAGTTGGAACCCCGTTGGTATGTTATGGTATTAGAAAAGAACCAAAGCTTTTTTCTTTTTTTCTTTTTGGAAAATGGGTTAAAGTGAATGAACAAGGAGGATGAATTAAACGTAACGTTAACACTGAGTTGTCCCTTCAACTGTGCATGGTTGCACGGGACCTTCAATTAAGATGTGCATCTTGGCTTAAGCAGATTGGTTACGCTGTCAATATCTCTAAAGGCACAATTAGTTTTGGAAACAAAATTTTGAGATTAGGGAAATAAACTTAGTGAATACACATACGCACATGAATCTTATCTGTCAGAATGGTATAGATCATTATAGATATGGTGGAACTTGCTGTTTCTTCAAGCGTTCATTTTAATTATGACCTCCTAAGGTCGGAAAGCAAGTTGCCCCTTTACATGCCCAGTGAAAATTGAAACAAAAAAGCCCCATGTTTGTCGTAGTGTCACAAACTTTTGAGTGGTTTCTGAGCTCAGAACCTATTAAAGAAGTAGGACCTTTGTACAATTTGAAATATAAGTGGAACCAGCTAGTGAAAGTTTTTATATATAAGAAACCACGCACGCGGACCCTCCATCTTCTGCCTGCAAAGTCCTTTTAACTCAATTAGAAAACTCGGTTTTATTTTTTGAATTTTCGCGCCTTCTCGTTCTATTTAACCCTTTCTTTCTATTTTTGTCTATGGATTCTGCAGTATAACTCATAGGATATTATAACAACCAATTAGAATTACTATCAATATTATTATCAATCAATTTCACCATTAGATCGATTATGTTAATCTAACAGTTATATTTATTTTCATATTTGTATGGTTATGATTCTTCATATTTAATGTGAAAGCATTAAATATGAAAAAACATAATCATATACAAATATAGAAACAAATATAAAAAATATTAAATATGAGGAATCATAACTATATAAAGATGGAAATAAATATAACCGTTGGATCAACATAATCGATCTAACGGTGAAATTGATTGCTAGTAACATTGGTAGTAACTAGGGATGTTCGCGGTCTGGATTGGATCGGTTTTAGAAGCAAAAATCATCTGATCCAATTCATTCAGTTTGATCATATAATCATCCATTTAGTTTGGATTTTTTTTCAAATTCGATCCGATCCAATCCAATTTTTTTCGGTTTGGATTGGATCGATTTTCGATTTTTTGAAAATCTTAAAAATTGTTTCATGATTATTGTGTAAATAACATCTTTTGTATATATTGGCTTTGTAATTTTATTTTTATTAAATACAAAAGCATCATTAAACGATAATATAGTTTTTTTTTTTTTTTTGAAAATGAGATATGAATCTCTACATAGATGAAATTTTGTTGATAAGATGTAACTAAGTTTTTTTTAGGGTTTAGTTGATGGGTTAATGGATCTTGGGTTTAGAAATTTTTGAGCTATGATTGGAGAAAGATCCAAGTAGGTAGATGAAAATTAATATATTGGATCGGTTTGGATTGGATCGGTTTTCATCTATCAATCCGAAAATTGATCCAATCTAATTAAAATTTGCGGTTTTTTTTCGGTTTTCGATTATTCGATTTTCGGTTTATTCGGTTATCGGTTATCGGTTTTTCGGTTCGGTCACCACGGTTTGAATTGGTTTGGATCGGTTGATGAACACTCCTAGTAGTAACCTTAATTGATTGTTACAATATCTCTCCTTCTATTTTTTATTTTATTATAATAGAAATTATAATTATCAATTCAAAGACAACGAGCAAGTTGGGGCGGGCACTGAAGCGAGTTGTCTACACAACAGTTACGGTAATAATTATGTCCAAAAATTGATTAAGAAGAATCTATTAGCTAGAGGACCAAAGAATAAGACCCAATGTTTGCCATTATCAAAGACGGGTCCTTTTCTTATTAACCACTTACGGAAACAACCCACAAAATCCTTGTACACGTTGTTATGGCACATTTAAGCTGTGGGCCTGAATCAAGGGAATCGGGACCCAGACAGTATAGGGCATGATATCAGTTAGTGCTTCCTGCACTGCAGCAAGAAGCTATTCAGGCACTGCTAATTAACACTAAGTTGAAGCAATGGCTTCAAGACCAGCAATCAAAATTGGCCCTGATATGGGCTTTCAGGTTCTAAAATCTAATTGCTGAACCAAAATAGTTTCATTAACACTCTTCCCTTTTTCATGCTGACAAGAAGGTAATTGATAATTAGAAAACACAAAAGGAAGCCTGCCTAACAAAAATCATTTCATGTGTCCGTCTGTAAGCTAACTCCCCTTATTTTCTCGGAGCAGTCTTTAATAAACAAAGTGGGGACTACTGTTGCATTTTGAAATAATGCCAAGTACATTCCCCGAGTATCTATGAAAATAGTTTTGGAGAAGTTAAGCTCATATCGTTAGGTGAAACCTTTTGGAGTTTGACAGACTTGCTGGACAATTTTTTCTTCTTCTTTGCCCCAAATTCCTTATTGGCATGGGTTGAAAATAGCAAGAGTAAGTTGCACGTAAAAAGTAACTCACTTAAACCAAATCATCACTATTCATTTCTTCCCTACTATCTTCTCTCTCTTACATCAAAACTGTTAGAGAAGTATTAAAAAATTGTAGCCTCACCTAATAGTTAAATTTTTTTTGATTGAATTAGTTTTTAACATAATATTAGAGTTTTAGTGTTACAGATTTGATCCTTATCATCTCTCGTTTAATTAATAAATAATTAAATTTTGTGAATTTTTTTAATATGTGCATTATTCATCCTTCAAGTCCAGTAGATATTTACGTATTAGAAAAGTATAGAAACCATATAAATACCCCTAGGTGAGAATATGTGTAACATCCCGAGCGCTGACGAAGGCGGGGAGTGATAAGGAGGCACGGACAAGAAGCGGCTCCTAACAGGCTTCCAGTAGGGGTTACATGTATGAATAAATCGAATCGACACCCGAAAGAAAGGGTTTCCAAAGATTGTGCAGGTACGAGACTGTACAGTTTAAGATAGCTTATAAGAATTAATTGGTACTACCTATACTAACAAGATACATCTACTCTTCGATAGTCCGGAACAGAAAAACTCCATAGTTAAACGTGTTTGACTTAGAGAAATTCTGAGATAGATGACCTCGTGTTAGTATGTGGGGTAGTCATTGATTCTTGAAGCGGCTAGATATAATAATATGTGCACAAAAATTATTTGAAAGAATCATTTTCCATAGCTATATTATTCCTTTTGTAGATAAATCGGGACATCACCTATACATCCAAAGTCTAAGTACCGTGCCTATTTAATTACAAGTTAGCAGCAGCATCTTTCTTATTCGTTAAACTTGTAATTTTTGTTGGGTTAGGGAATTGATGATAAGATTAAGAATGGGTAGGGCAAGATGATGCCGGCTACACCTACAATTGTTGATTTAATTACAAGTACCGTGCCTATTTTTGTCTACAACCTTTTACAACTATATTTTAACCGTTGATTTCCGTCAATCAATGGTTATTATTTTCACAAATCAAATTCATTAATTAATATTTAAATTGCAATGAATGATAACCGTTGATTGTCGGAAATCAACGGTCAAGATATGGTTGTAAAATATTGTAAACAAAAATAGGTTGTAAGTATAACCTTTCCCTTTTGTATTGACTCTTGTAATTTTGAATGTTTGTTAAAAATTCATTTGGTTTTTTAAAATCTTATAAATTCATATTATCCTTTCAAATCTTATGAAATCTATTAAAATCCTTTAAAATCTAATCCTATGAAATCTTGATTGCAAAAAAAGTCTTTTAAAAAATTCTACAAAGTCTCTCTAATTCTAACATATCTTTTAAAATCTGTAGAATTTTTCATCTCAAAAAAAGTCTTTTAAAATCTTAATATTCTTCACTTAGGTCATTACCAACTAATGTGAAACTCATCACACTTGAATATGACCGGTCATACACTTTTGATTATTGCACATAGTATAGTTTGTACAATTTTGTAAACAAAAAATTTGTAAATATAACCTCAACAATTTATTTTGCTTACCTTTGTCCTTACTTTTTCATTTATTAATTATCCCTTGTTAAATATAGTTAAAGGAAGACATATCACATTAAAACGTTTGTTTATATAAAACTTTCACATCAATTGTATAATAATGAAAGATAACGCAATTGATAGAGTAAAGAACATGGATGAATTTTTTTTTTATTAAAAAGTCAAAACTAAAATGTACTCACATTGAGCATGCATTGCGTCTCAACAAGAAAGAAACGATTACACCCACAGAAAACTCATTACTCAATTTCGAATGCACCAACAGAAACAATTGACTAACCCAAAATCACAATCATATATGCTCACTGAGGAAGAGGGCGTGATAAAAGACGAAATGCAAGAACGACACATAGGTGAAATGTACGGTGGGAGCTAGCTAGCTAGCTAGCAAGCTCGACGCTTCAGATGAAAACCAACAGATGCGAAAAGGCGAAGAGAGGAACGCGAGTGAATGCGAGGATGATTACGAGCGTAATCAATGGCACCAGCGTATAGCTCACTTCAGCAAGGGAACAATCACAAGGTGCATCCGCAGGTGGAGAAACAGGAAGTGGCGGAGAACGGCTCCTGCCTCCGCCGCCGCCACGTTGGCCTTGATCATCACCGGTTCCGTTGTTGTTGTTAGAGTGGGCCAGAACATGGACTTGGACTTTGAGGCCTTGTTGGCATTGGCCCATTCGGCCACAGACGAAGTAGCGGTTTCCCGGTTCGGTCAAGTGGATCACGGTGTCACCGGTGTCGTACGTGGCAAGGGGGTTTGAGATCGTACACGTGTCGTAACCCAGTTGGTTAACTTCAACCACGTCATGCACCGGCGTGTACGAGAACACTGCCAACCAAACCATCCCAAACGGAACGAACGTTTTAGAATTTTAATCGTACAGTTTTTAATTTAAAAAAAAAATAAAATCCCGTCATGTCAAAAATACCCTCGCCTTTGTCTCCGTTTCTGTTAAATACTCAAAACTTCGAGAACGAAAACGGTTACGTACAGCAGTTTGTTTGGCTGCCGAGAAAATGTATAGAAAGTACAAAGAAAACAAACAGCTAACGTAGTTTCCATGGATTCTGAAATTCTCGAAATGAAAGCTCAAATAAATCGAACCGAACTTCACCTAACTATTTATTTTTCTCTATCGTTAGTTTGTTCAAAGATTAAGATCCTAAGTGCTCTGTTTTGGCGGAAAACGTTTTTCTTGGGATCGAATTAACATATGTGAAGATAGAGAGAAAGAGAAAATGTAGGTCCGTACCAAGCTCATCACCGACGTTAAACGTGGTCGTAGAAGACCATGCCTGGAGATTCGAACCAAGATCCCAGCCGGAAGCTCCACCGACGGTATGGTTAACACCGCAGACGCATCGGAACAGAATCGAAGTGATTACGATCACAACGATAGCCTTGACAGCCCACGCTGGCCTCAGTCCCTCCATTTTCCTTCGAAACAAACAAGAAAAATAAAATAAAAAATGAGCTAATTAAGTAACTGAAAATATGGAATTGGAAGTTCAGCGCTAAATTTCACAGAAAATTCTCTCTGCAAGTGCAAACTATCGAAATCTAAAGCTCAATCAATTAGCGTGAAAAAACAGAACTGATCAGAAAATGTATCAAGTTGATGCGTGGTTTAATGTTCTCTAGAAAATGTAAAGGTACCTACTGTAAGCTCCGCAGTGACACAAGATAGCAAGGAACACAGAGAAGAAAAATCTTAAAGCTAATTTTCAACTCACTGAAGAAGAACAAGAAGTTGAGAGAGATATTAAGAGAGAGTATGTTAGAAATTTCAGAGAGCGAGAAGGTATGGGCATGGCGGTGGTGGAGGGTTGCGAGTTTTCCCGCCTTTATACGGTTTTTGTTTCTGTTGTTGCAGAGAGTCAGCTACAATGCGGACGTTCTTACGATAAGGATGGTGAGAGCGCCAATTCTATTTTCCATTTGTGATGAATGGAGAAATCGAGAACACTTCAAAAGTTCAAGTGGTATTAGAAAATATAGAGAGAAAACAAAATTATTAGTTTTATTCATATATTATCTAAGTTACTCCCTTCAGATATTCTTGAAAGTGGTCTCCATTATAGGGTTGATTTCGTAATTACATAACAGTATTTTATTTTTATTGAAAGAGTATTGATTCAATTGGTAAAATCTTCATAATATGCAATGCTCTCAATTATATGCGTGCAACTAAATATATACTGCAGATGTTACTTTTGAATTTGTAACCATACTCAAGCAATTTTGGAGCTTGGAAGTTGACCAAGAATAATATAATTTCTTCCTTCTCTAATATTTTCATCCAATTGTCCAAAACACTACTGATCTTGCATGCTATGCTGCTTCCTGATTATGTAAGATTCGCGTAATCGCAATTGCTTAGTGCGATTTGTTTGCTTGGTTGATTTCGGTGGAATGTATCAATTACCCAAGTTTGTATATCACGATTTTATATTTTGATTTATTATATTATCAATTCTTTTGAACTACTTATACAATTCAGGATTTCGGATCAAGCAAAATTTTTAAATTTTTGTTTTATAATAAAATCATAAGAAACAAAATCAATGGTTAACTTTTACAACTGTCATTTCCTTGATCCCTTTCTCCATCTCAATCAGTGGATGTTGTAGGGGATAAAGTAACAGGAGCTACAGTGCAAATCAAACCATTTTGTAGACGACCTCAGGCTGTGTGATATATCAACGCGAAAGTGGAGCAGATGTGAGCCTAGTTTATATATCCTGCTGCAGTATGTGTTGATTGAAAACTTAGTCCTCAAACCTGTGAAAACACACAACCTTTTTAAACTCCTTTCAAGAAATAAGCCATTTATCAAACAAGGTATTGAAGACCCCATCAAACAAATTGGAAACACATATATCTCAGAATCAGTGATGAAGAAATGTAACTCAGCAGCCAAATCATTCCTTGCAATAGGTATTTGCTTCTACAGTATTATATAAATAAGAACTTTGAGCATACTTCACCTAAAAAGAAAGTGGCACACCCCAGTGTTTAAAGGCTCCCCCCAACTTTGCAAGGATAGGGATGAGGGTCACTTTCCTTACTCTTATGTATTTGCAAAGAGTCTATTTACTATACTCCCTATGACTTTCTGGCCATAACGGAGCAACTTTATCATTATTCCGAAGTTAAAGTAATTTTAAGGCCACAGAATAAGCAGGTCTCTCCATTTTAGGATAAAGGGTCATCTAAACAAAATATGGTCATAAAGAAAAACATCAAATTAGCGTTGATAAAACTGAAATGAGAAGAACACACCAGACTAATGCAGCTCAATGTTCATGCAACATTGCAAGACCGTCTGCAACTATAATTTTGTGTCATCTACCCAAAGGGCTAACTCAACAATCCATGAACTTATACGGCACATTCCTTTCTCCTGCAAACATAAATATTGATTTAATAATTTGGAAGTGCATAACATGAACTGCTACATTTTCTTTGTTCTATTGTGAATGCAACTAGGGTGCAAGGATATTAGAAGAAGAAAAAACTTAAAGAAATGAAGAATAAAGCTTTAGTTCTCCAAGAACTATTATAATGAAGCGAATTAAAGAAAATAGAAGAAAGATTACAAAGATTTATGATACAAGTATTGTCATCTTACAATCAAATGTTGTCCAGTTTGAAGGAGGTACAGTTGAGACATCCTGTTTATCGTCATGGATAGAAAGCAAGCAAAAAAGATCAACGGTACCATTGCTCTTTCCAATGGAGTTATCAAAATCAAGTGATGCGTATGGCTTCTTTAATGGTGGTGAAATCTTCTTTTGCAAACCTAAGGAGTCCTGAATTGAAAAGATAAACTTCAAATCATATCTTGTTCTTTTGGGATGTAGTAAATCTTGAAAGGCAACCAAAATTTTTCGGAGTAAACAAAACAGAAAGAGAACCATGCTATTTAGCAGAGGAGAATAAATAAATAAAATGACAATAAAATGCAAGTTGTGACCATGTATGTGTTGAGATATATAGTCTGGTTGTATGTGAAACTAATGTGGAGTTTATAAGGTCTTGGGCACTCCCACCCTTAGAGCTAGCTTTTGGGGTGGTGTATCTCAAGGTTCTTTACATGTATCAGAGCCTCGCCGCCCCCCATTTTCTCTTGTGGCGTTTTATCCCAAGGTTCTTTACATGGTATCATAGCCTCGCCGTCCCCCACTTTCTCTTGTGGAGTTTCTTAGCACAGGTAGGTTGGGCCTGTTGCATTGTCCACCCTTCAAGCCCAAAGGGCTCTCGTGTGAGGGGGCGTGTTGAGATATATAGTCCCACATTGGTTGTATGTGCAACTAATGTGGAGTTTATAAGGCCTTGGACACTCTCACCCTTAGAGTTAGCTTTTGGGGTGGTGTATCCCAAAGTTCTTTACAGTATGTGCAATTGTGCAAGTGACTTGTTTATTAAATGATCCACTGAAACATGTATCTGTGCAATTAAAATTCTTTAGTCAGGGATTGAACTTCATATAAAACATGAATACCTCATGAGATCTTGCTACTGGAGGCCGGATTTTTGCCATGTGGTTCACAAGAATGCTTTCCTCAAGAGACAATCTCCTATTCTTTTGAATACTACTCTTGGCCACAACATTTGGTGAATCATTCACATTAAAGATTATTTCAGCTGACTTTGAAGCTGCTTGTGGGCCACCTTTTGAAGCCCATCTTTTCTCCACATACCTGAAATATCTCAAGCAAGTTGATAACAGTAGAAAATGGGAAAGCAGATGAAAATTTGATCTTCCAGTTTGAAGTACTGTCATGTATTACTTGGCACGAATAAACTTTTCAATTCCATATCCATTTCTGTCAAAATTTGGCGGCAGTTCTGCCTCCCAGTACATATTTGACTTGGCATTACCCATAACTGCATGAAACACACAAATCAAGAAACACACAAATCAAGAGAGTAGGTAAGTAGCCATTATGCAAACAATCAAAGTAACATAGAAATTCAGCTGCAAGAGAATTCAAGAGCCCAACAAATTTTTTTAAACAATTACCATATCTTCCATGAGCAATTAGATTCACTAATCAATTAATATTACACAATGTCCTATAAATGATATCTCTATCTACATACATATGGAATGGACCAGACTACTTGTGATTTACTACCCTTTTAAGAAAACTAGTTGATCCTCTTGTACTGGGGAGAAGAAAAATTAGTTACTCACAGTATCTCATAATTAGCTTAATCATACTTTTGGCTAAGAAAGTAAGAACAGATTTTATAGTTTCTTACATTGCATGAAAGAAACTTGATCTGGCAACCATGTATCCAAAGTTGTGGACCGCACCTAGTTACAAAATCAGAAAGGCTCAGCCATTATCAATTTCTAAACCGATACAGAAGAAAAGTTGTATATATAAACCTTTGATATATGCACTCCAAGACTCCGGTGAATTCCGGAACATTGCATGCAAATGAAAATTCCTAAGTTCACACTGGCCCATCGTGGTGCCCTGAAATATTAAAATTATGAGTTCCATAAACCACGAAAAAACTTCAATAATTTCAATGCAAAATCAAATGCCAAACTTTACACAATGACACAAGTGTTGGGAAATTCGTTCCCTCAAACTCTAATCAGGGAAAGCCCGTGGCGGGGAACCACCACCAATGAGTTAAGGCTACACCAACTGTAGCAAGTGGATCCGACACCACATCTCAACCTAAAACCTTAAGGCTTTGGGTTCATGGGTTTTTTTACTTATATACTCTTCACTTAGCTCATTACCAACCAATGTGGGACTCATCACACTTGAATATCTCAACAAAAGTATGGTGCACAACCAATCTCCTTGTGTATATAATAGAAGTACTAAAATATGTTTATAGTTCCAAAAAAAAAAAACTATTTAATGACCTATTATAGTTTAAGCTTCATGAATAAAATCATTAATGTTTATGCTTAACATAAAATAATGGGTTCTGAAAAGCATATATATACTTGTTCCTGCAATCTGCACATTCCCTATTGTCAGGCAGCTTAAGAAGTCCCTCTAAGATCTGCACACACAGTCACAAAAAAAGAGAGAAAAAAAAAAACATAACTTAAGCACCAAGCAACAATCAACCCACAAAAAAAATCCAACTTTCATATAACCCACATAGGGATTGATAAAATAAAACAAAAATTGTGAAAAGGGGTGGAAGAAAAATGGAACCTTGGTGTGCTTGGCATGGAGCTCCTTGGAGACAGAGGCTTTTCCGTTCATATTTGCAAAACCTTCACTGCTTGTGTGGTGGTGTGAGGACACACATTCACAGCGAAGGAAAAGCAAACAGAGAAAGGAAGGAAGGAAGGAAAGTGATAGGGAAAATAAGATCAAAAGAGGGTGTGTTTGTGGCTCCAAAAATTCAGAGGTGAACCATTGAAGAAGCAGGGAAACACGGTTTGTGATAGCATGAGCAAAACACGGAAAATCCATTCATCATTCTAAGCCAATAACAATCATCCTTTGGTCACTTCTACAGAACAACTTTAGTTGCCTTTCAAACCCAAAACATCAATAACATATATATATATATATATATATATATATATATATATATATATATATATATATTTGGGTAACATGTACAAAAGTTAGTATATATAGTTTGGTTCAGATGCTATTATTTTTTTATATATCATATTCATTTAAATTTTTGTATTAATTTTTATGTTCCTGATTTATTTGAGTTTAATGTTTATAGATTATTTATATTTATTTGAGGAAGCTTATACTAATAACGTATTTTTGTTTTAACTTCTTATAATCATATCTTAACCGTTGACTTCCGTTAATTTAACGGTTATAATTTATTGGATCATATTTATTGATTAATTATTATTTTCTAATAAATTATAACAATCAGATTAGCGGAAATCAACAATTAAAATATGATTATAAGAAATTGTAAATGAAAATAGATTGTAATTTTTTTATAGAGGTTAGTCCTTATAATTTATATTATTATTAAATATTAAATTTTGAGACACTAAAATCTAAATATGTAAAAACTATAAGAACAGATGTCTAAAATAATTAACAAGAACCAAAATCTATATCGATTATCGAGTGAAACTATAAGATGTGATTATTATCTTACCTAAAATTTATTTTATGTAAGTCTTGTCATGTATGTGTTTTGTGGATTAGAGTTTTGAGTACAATTTTAAAAACTAAACTAGACGGACCGGTTAACTAATTAGACTATAAACTAGTTATATGACTTATAGCTTCGATTTTGAATATTATTTTGTTCTATAAATCTTAATAGTAAAACAACCGAACCTTGATTGTAGCCTTGTAGGTGTCGCTGGCTCACCCTATGTTTCGATTTTTAAAACACTAATTTGGGTAACTTGTTCAGGACCCACAATGGTAGCAAAAAACACTCTCAAAAATTGACAACAGTTTGTGTCTATATAAAGGTGACATTGACCCATTTGCCACACTAATTACAATTATTTATCAAAATGTCACGATTCAATCAAATTTTTTCAAAATGTCATATCACAAATTTGCTACATCAACAAGCGAGTGTTGTTTGAGCACGTGGTCATTTCTTGCAGGCCATAAATCTTGATGAACAATGCAGTGAGATAGTCAGTCAAAGTGACAGACTGTGCAATCTAAAAAAGCATGTCCACATAGCATATCTCGCTGGGTTTCTGCGCGAAATTGGTGCAGCTTTTTTCACGTGTCAGCACCTGGCTTATCACGCTGGACAGTCAACCAAATTTAATACTCTATGACACGTGTACAACTCAGTCATCAAAGCATCAAGGCTAGTTCTATAAATACACCTCCCCTCGTTCTAGTTGCAACAATTCATCGGAGCTCTAAATTTTCGTTGTTTCTATTTCTGGTGCTGTGATTTTCCGATTGTTTCTTTCTGTTGTAGTTTTGTGTAATTATTTTCAAAAGAGCGATGATAATGATTCAGTAATTGCCATAGTATATTACAATGAGAGAAAATATTTTGGTCATAATGGGCAAGTTTTTGAAGGAGATACGAAATTATTTCATATGAGCCCGCAGTGTGGTTTTAACCTTTAATGAACTGAAGAAGACAATATATAAGAAGTTGAAATTACAATAGGGTCAAGTTCTCTCTCGCTTGACTGCTAGATGCACCTCGAGACCCGAAAGTTGGGTTCTTGTAGAGATTGTTGAGGATGAAGATGTCGCGTTAGTAGTAGATACATTTCGAGATCATCTACACTCCACATTTGTTGAACTCCATGCGAAAGTAGACTCCGGTGGACAATCTAGCAGTCAATATTCCCTCTCTTCCATTCCCTCCATCGACATTAAAAGGGAGTCACTGGTGAATCTTGAAGACAAGTATGTGTCACCCCAACCACCCTACCCACCAAAGTCTGCAGAAAAGGTTTCTGCTCACGATATGTATGATCCGGCATGGCGTACTGACAGTTTCGACAAAGAGGTGAATGAAGGCGTTGTCTCGGACAGTGACTCATTAGACACTGGCGTGGATGGCGATTTCGATTCATGTTCGTCCACCGCTGTGTGTCAAATTAAAAATATCAATTCTCCTATATTTTACATATATTAAATAATTTATCAAACATTAAACATGACATCTATCCTGAGGTTTCAAGTCCTAAAATAAATGACATTAAAATAAAATATATAAAACCAAAAATTCAAACCAATGTTAAAGCCCTATGCATGATATTAAATTGAAATATTAATTAAAATAATTAATATCCTACAATTTACTTATACTAATTGATGTAATAAAAATTAAACATGTCATCTATTCTAGAATTTCTTATAAAGTATATGCTATTAATAACAATAACAAAAATTTGTAAATACTAACTTTATCTTGAGAGAGAGAATACCTTTAGTGAATTTTTTATAGAGAGTTAGAGTGATATTTGTAGAGAGAGAGAGAGAGAGAACGAACGAACGTTGAGAGTGATGGGTGGTGGGGTTAGTGGGGGGATATATAGGAAGAGGTCCACATAGAATTCGGCAGGCAATGCAGCGAATCACCTAGGGTTGTGACACGTGTCACACATGCATTTGCTAGATGTACGACGAGCATGTAATTCGGCTGACTGTATAGTGAGATAAGCTAGTGCTAACACGTGGAAAAAGCTGCACCAATTTTGCGCAACAGCCCAGCGAGATATGCCACATGGACAGACTTTTTCAGATTGCACAGTCTACCGCTTTGATTGGCTATCTCGCTGCACTGTTCACCAAGATTTATGGCTGGCAAGAAATGGCCACATGTCCAAATGACACTCGCCTATTGGTGTAACGAATTTGTGACATGGCATTTTGAAAAATTTTGACTAGATCATGGCATTTTGATAAATAGTTGTAATTACTGTGGCAAATGGGTCATTATCCCTCGTAAAATAACTAAATTCGCACTTAAAAAATGTAAAAATATCTTAAGAAGCCAAAATATTATAAATAAAATAGGATTTAAAAAGAGTTACAGTTTTGTATAAAATTACTTTATTGATTAGTTAATACTTTGCTAACAATATTTCACTTAAAAAATTATTTTAGCACTTTTTTTTTGGGTTGAAGGGTATGTATTCCTGACCAAAACTGCACCTGCAGCTCTTAACCTACCACTCTTTTAATCTAATGGGGAAAAGAGAAGAAAAATATGTTCGGTAATGGTAGCTAAGGATTTTATCATTAATACGTTTCTCACATTGTAATAGATATCAAACAACGCTTACTCATTCTCATGCGAGTCCTTATAAGCAATCAGTGGGTGATAAATGCTATCAACATCCAATCTTAACATGCATATACCATGGCATGTCCCAAGTTCCCTTAACACTAAAAAGGCAACATCGATTCTTACAATCCAAGAACATTGATGTACCCAAAATAACAGTAATGTTGAATGTTGCTACGTTCATCTTCAAACTTGTATAAATCATCTAATAAAAATCTAACATCGAAATACATAATGATGACAAAATTGACAACGAATAAAAACGACACCGATGCACACTCTTATTAGACAAAATACAGGACAGCACTCATCAATTTTTGACAAGGGTATGCCGAAGGGTCTTGTCCCAACTTCCAATGTTGAAATAGTTGAATCCCCTGACTGAATCCGAAAGGAACTGAACCAAAATTTTTCACATGAAATTATAATCATCATCCAGAGCATCATATCGATCAGCAACAAACTCGTCATCAGGTTTGTCAACAATTAGCTGCTTTTTCTTGCCACCTGCAGACACACAAAAATTCTTGAAAACACCCAAAAAAGAAAAAGAAAAAGAGACATAATCAAACACAAAATGTATAATTTAAGATGAAGTTACCTGTCTTCTTTTTGCCAGCATTGGCTTCTTTCTCTGCTTTTATCTTTTCATTTGCAATGGCAGTTATCGAAGATGCAATATCTTTAGCATCTGCTCCTTTTAGAGAAGTCATTGATAGTCTCATAATTGCCTTCAGTAAACCAATATAATGATAACTTTTCTGCATTCATCAAAAAGGAAATTAGGATACCCTCTAGACAAATATTTAAGGAAGAAGGGAACAGAAGTATCTAACTCACCTCAAATGCACGAAGCCTGTGAGAGAGGAGCTCTGCATACTCCAAGAAATCACTCTCAGATTTTGGTATAAACGTATCAAGGTTCTTTTCGTCACTTCCCCCACCAAACAATTCCTTGGTGGACTTATAATCTGCTTCTTCAACTAGTCTGTGATAGAAAGAGTAGATTAAAATTAAATGAGCATCATCTAAATTAGCAATCTGCTTCTTTTAAATGTGTGGTCATTCTATAACAATCATAATTTAATTTAATAAAAGAGAGGCAATTTATCTAAGACACTACTTAAATATCAAATTTAATTGCAACGATCAATAGAGAACAAATATGCCTAGCCCGATACTCGTTTGCAAACCATAATTTTGGAGAGGATTCTCGGAGTATTTTCTAAATTCTAATCTGAGAGGCTTTAGCAGCAGTAAGGAAGCCAAAGTCCTATTGCAATGCGCTATGTTCACTGTGCTCTAAATGACTTTGGTTAGAAGAGGAATGCTTGAAAATGTGAAAAGAAAGTTTCAATCTTTTAGTCTTGCTCTAGGACATGATTATTTCTTTGGCCTCTCTATGATGTTCAGCACACAGGTTATGCAGTGAAGTTCCTTTGGTAAATTTGCATAGAAAGTGTAGACTAATTTGTATTAATAGTTTTGTTAGGGATTTTGTTCTGTTTCTGGTTGGCGGCTGGCTTTCATCTTAGTTTTATCTTAGGAGTATTCACTACCCTCCCTCCTTTGCAATCCATCTTTTCTTTTCTTCTAGCTGAGGGTAGGGGTAAATAGCTGTTTTACCACAAAAGTAAAAAATCAGCTCCTAATCATGTAAGTAGCATAGCTAGTTAAAGCATACCTCGAAAATCACTGCAATACATGTTCAAGAAGAAGTAAAGAAGATCTAGCTCTATAACAAAGATAAATTGTACTGAAACAACACACACAGTTTGGACAGACCCCTTATCATGCTACCAAAACCAAATTGCCATAAAAAAGTTCATGAAAGCAACTAAATAACAAAGGAGAAGATTCAGCACTACGGTCTTATTACAATCTGCACTGGCTCATATTCATATTTTGCTAACCAGCATACATGGCAAACCTACACATTGTTACTTGTGTGTAAAAATCTATGATATTGGTACCCATACGAGACGTTCTAAAAGGAATGTCAGGGTAAACAAATTAGATAGATAATAAAGTACCTTTGTTGGCGAAGTTTTTCAGCCACAGGATCCAATGGTTCTTCCTTTACTGGTTCTGTTTTCTTTCCCTTCTTTTCAGTAGCTTTTTCAGAAGATTTTTTGGGAGCTTTTTCAGTAGTTATTACAGCAGGTACTGCAGGTTCCTGACAATATTATGCAAAGAAACAAAAAAAAAAAAACTGGCAATTAGTAACAACAGAAAAGAACATAATTACAAGAAACACAGCATCACTTCATTAAAAGTAATTATGAAACTCAAATTTCATTGTACTAATAATTTTTAAAAGTGTATAAGTTAAGCTACTTACACCATTTTTTATTTTTAAACAATTCCCCCTCCCAAAAAAAAGCCTTTTTTCCTTTAAGAGAAAATAGACAGATAAAATAGAGCTAACAATGTACTAGCAGACTTAAGTACATTGGCATTGTGATGGCATTGTAAAAGTAAAAAACGGCATGCTAATCAGCTAATACTAATAAGAAGGTAATTGGCTAAATATGAAAAAGCTATCTCCATCTATCTTTAAAAATTACATGCAACCATACAGATGTAAATGAACTATGCCCTGTTGTGACATCATTTCTAATTGTTCATACCGGAGCAGGCTCATCTTCATCCTCCCATGATTCCTTCACATCATTTTCATCCAAATCTTCATCATCCCATTTACTTTTAGGTTGGTCTTTTAATGCCAGTTCAATAGGAGCAATTTCCTCATCCTCTGAAACAAATATACAAACATTTATTAAATTAACAACAATACAAATACAAAAGAAGAAAGACAGTATACTTTGACATAATTATTAATTTATTATACTAGATTTTTAGGCTTTTGCAATCATATACATAGTGGGTTTGCAATCACAAAATTTAGAAATTGATTTGATTTATGAATGAAATCTTTCGTTTGGATAGTCAACAGTAGAAACTTATTTGATTTCAAAATCTTATGAAATTAGTTGTGTACATTTAGAAATTCACTCAAATAAGCTTGGATTTGAGAGAATGTGATTTAATTATAGTTTTCATATTTGAATTGACCACCTCAGCCTCATTACTTCAGCCTTTTTAGTATTTTACCTATTCTAAGTAAGGTCAATCAAGTAACATTATTAACGCAATGAGCTTATTTAATCTTTCAAGTTTCAAACATGAAAAGTAATCTACAAATCAATTTTTTGTACTAATGAGTTAGAAACATATGAATTGATTTTGAATCGAATCAACTCCAGTTTCAGTGATTCCAAAATTACTCATAATGAATCAATGTGCAAGTGAACTGTCAATTGAAGAACCTTATAATGTCAGCGCAATTTATCAGATTTTCCCAACCTAACAAATTAATTAGCATCAACGATTATAGTTTTATCTAGTAAGTTTTGTAGTGCATACAAATCTAATATCCTCTGTATTAATGAGAATGATCTAGAATAAGCAATACTAAGAAAATATTAAAGATGGTGTCTGGATTCTGGAGGTAAAAAACAATTAAACTATCAAAGACCAACACAAATAAGTTGTTTGAAAGTAGAAACATACTAGATACCCAATTAAAAAATTGACAAAAGGAAAAAGATTCCAGTAATTGCATTAACATTAAACAACAGCTGAAAGGTATGTACAAACAAAAAATTGAAACAGAATATCATTACCCCAATCATCCATTTTGTTGTCACTTTGTCAATGAAACAGAACAACAGAATGCCTGCTAAATCGACTGCATGAATGCACATGAAGAAGAAGAAGAAAAAAACCGTCAGACATCTGAACGAGAAAAAACCACGAGAGTTCAACCAGCAACACTTCCTCAACCTCTCCAAACCCTCCCCCCAGCACACACACGCACACACAGAGAGAGAGAGAGAGAGAGAGAGAAAGAGAAAAAAAGAGATGGATGGTAAAGGAGTGATACAGACCAAATCATAAATAAATCAGAAAATCTGCAGAAACACATAAAAATTAAAGAGACAACTAATCTTATTTTCCATTCTATCAGTGCCGCATATCACTGGCATCATACCACTCTTTACAAGTAAACCCCTCGCTTATACACAAAAAATTAATCAAAATTAATACTTGCAGCAGCCCTAAGGTTTTTCAGGATTCCAAAATCAGACTTTAAGACTCCCAAAATAGAGGGAACAAAATAAGCCAATTAGTCTTGAAATCAAAATTGCCAAGCTCACAAGATTCTATAATGTCAAAGCCATAGACTTTGAGCAGTAATACCATTGCTTCTAATTCAGCATCCTCCAATCCTCTTAAAAAACACGCAACCGGATTCTCAACAAATAAAATCTTGCACTTTCAATGGATAACACACCGATTTCAAATAAACAAATAATGCTAAAGAACTTAGTTATCACAAGTGCCTAATCAGAGTTCCCACTATTAAAAAGAAGGAAAATAACAGTATTGAAGTTCAATACAATATAAACATGCAAACATTAAAAACAAGTAAAAAAGCAAAAACCCTACCCTCCCCCCTTTCTTTTTTTTTGCTTTTGAAAGTAAATAACTGAACCAAATTTCCCAAATTTCAAAAGGATCCGATCCATATGACAAGAAACTCATGATTTTCCGAAAGAGAAAAAAACCCAAAACTTTTATTTTCTCAGAGAAATAAATCTTCACCTCTTTCTAAGATGGTTGCCAAATCAATTGAAGAAGTGAAATAGAAGGGAGTGAAGATTGAAGAAAAAGAGGAGGGGTACCTCAGGTGACACAACGACGGCGAAACCGCTGATCGGAAGTAGGGGCGGTGGAGCGTCAGAACGATTAGGGCACAATGGATTCGGTACTTTGAAATGAGGAGGAATATAAAACTGTCGTCAAGATAAAACTTAATGGAGTCGTTAATTGTTTTATAAATAATCTTTCAATTAACTTTTATTTTTATTCAGAAGCAAGTTTATAGTTACAATCTCTTACAACCATATCTTAACACCGTTAATTTTCGCCAATCAACGATTATGATTTTCGTAAATTAAACTTATTAATTAATTATTAATTCACAATAAATGATAACCGTTGATTGGCGAAAATCAACAATATTAAGATATGGTTGCAAGAGGTTGTAAAAAAAAGTTGTAACTATAACCTACCTCTTACGAAAGAAACAAGTTTATTGTGAGATTTTTTTTTTAAGAAAAAAGAGAAATTTGATTTTTCTAAATTATATAATATAAGGGAGTGTATTGGATTAGGATTTTAAAATATATTTTTCTGCTAAAAACTCTTATAGATTTTAAAAGACAATTTAGAATGGGAGAGACTTTATAGACTTTTTTAAAATAGTTTTTTTACAATCAAGATTTCATAAGATTGAATTTTAAAAGATTTTAAAGTATTTTAAAGGCATGTTTGGTGTAACGTACAAGGCCTGATAGTATAAGCTTATACTTATACTATAAGTTTATACAGCAGAATCCCTTAATACATCAAAATGATGTATAACTTAATTCGGCCTAAGGAGGAAGGATAAGACCTGATAAGAGATTAGTGTATTAACATAGTTGACCAGTGCAATTATCAAAATTTAATATATTATTTTAATATTAATATATTAAAATAAAAATTAATTTTTCAATATATTAATTTTAAAATATTGAATTTTTTTTATAAAAATTAATTTTTCAATATATTAATTTTAAATATTGAATTTTTTTATAAAAATTAATTTATGTTTTGGACACACTAATGAATATAAAAATTAATATCATATGACATTATTTGAAGAATTATATAAATTCTTAATTAAATGATATTTTTATTAAAAATATTTATTTTTATCCTATATAGCATTATACAGTGCATTACCAAATATTAGATGATATTATCTTATACAATATTTATTTTTATAAGATTTGAAAGGACAATATGGATTTATAAGATTCTAAAAAACCATATGAATTTTTAACAAACATTCAAAATTACAAGAGTTAATAAAAATGGAAAGGTTATACTTATTACCTATATTTGTTTACAACATTTTACAATCATATCTTAACCGTTGATTTCCGCCAATCAACTATTATCATTCATTGCAAATTAAATATTAATTAATGAGTTTGATTTGCGAAAATAATAACCGTTGATCGACGAAAATCAACAGTTAAGATATGGTTATAAAATGTTGTAAGTATAATCTTTCTCATAAAAAAATAACAAAGAAATGCAATGAAATTAATAAAAAAAAATAAAACCTAATATAATTTTCTCAATCAGTAAAACATAATATAATTTTTAACAAACATTCAAAATTACTAAACAACAATTTTTCACATATCTAATAGGTTGAAAATTATCTTCTTCATTTGGTATCAAAGCTATGCATATATAATTATAAGACCCAATTTTTTTAATTCTAAAAATAATTCTAAATTTGCATATAGAACCTAAAATTCATGATAAAATTTTGTTTGGAATTTTTTGCAATTGATTTTGAAAATCTTAGGGATTTTGTTTTACGTGATGAGAGTTTTCTAACTATATATTATATGCATATTTTTATTGAATATTCTAAGAAAATTTCGAATTTGAAATTTTGGATTTAATTACATGAAAGTTTAGAAAAAAATTCATTTTTTTTTCAATCGATACATTGAAACTTTAATTTTTTTTTGGGCTTTTGAGAAACAAGCTTTTAATTATCTATTGACACAAAAATTGTTTGAAATTGTTTCCTATAGTGAAGAAATTTCATTCATGAATGTATTGTTACGAAATATAGAGTTCATATTATGAAATTTTCAATCTTTCTTTAAATTGATATTGTTTCATTGATGTAAAACAAAAATTGATTTGAGGGTTTTAGTTCTCTTATTATTTTTTACTGTTTTATGTTGTTTTTAATACAAAAATCATACATTTTTGTGCCAAAAAAACCGCAACCCATAGCTTGAAAAATCACTTTTTAAATTTTCAAAATTTCTCAAAAATGGCTCAAAAATATATTATTTTTTAGATAGATTATATTAAAATCTCGTTGGTTTGTTGTTTCTGGGTTGTTTTGTGATGAAAATCTCTCAAAAAATATGCTTGTTTTTAGTTTTGACGAAGCTCTCATGGTGGAACCCAATTTCGAGCAGTCAACCTGTCAAAGGAAAAAGAAAACACTGCAACAGAAGAATCTCAAGAAATCCTAGGGGTTAGGGTGAGATTATGAGGGATGCATCCTATTTATATTTTTCACTAAAAAGTCTCATAAAATCCACACTAATAGAAAATCCATTAAAACCGTCGGATTTTTGAATACCAAGAGATTGTGATTCCATTGTTTAAAATCCTGATTGAATCCCAACGGATTTGGACGGATTCTAAAATAATTCTTTAAAATCCTAATCGAATACCACGTGACTTTCTTTCAATCCATTAAAATGCTAATCGAATATGAAGGGGAATTTCTTAGAATTAAGAGAAAAGAATAAGAGAGGAGAGAAATTTAGGAAGAAGAATTGCGATCAAACATCCAATGACTTTTATTGATCTTTTCCAGGATTTTTATAGTAAAACAAATAACAACCTAATGGCTAAGGAATGCTAGCTACTAACTAACTACTGGAAATAAAAATAACAAATTGAAGATAAGGATAACTTAAGGATTATTCCTATCTGCAACTAACTAACAAACTGATAATTGCATAATTATTAAATAAGAAAAGTAAAGACTCCTAGCTAATAAAGATTTAAACATAATCTTGGAGATGGGCTGGTGGCTTTGTCATGCGTTTGGGCCTCTCATTATCTGGGCCTGCTACACTCCTTTGCCCATCAGAAAAGAGCTTGTCCTCAAAGCTCAATGATATCTATCGCGGGCCTTGCAGTGGGATCGACTGCCCAAGTCCTTTCAGCAGCGACGAGATCAACGTGGTTTGGTGCAGCCTGGATGTGTGAAGGAGCAGGTTGATGTGGCGCTATGGCATTGGTCCGAAATCCCTTGGGAAAAAACTGATTGGCTCCAAAGGGATCAGCCTTATCACGAAGGGCGCCTGCCCCATGTGACTCCTCGGTCAGTGTGCGTGACTGATCAATTGCAGCTGAGTGGGTGGATGCATTTATGTGTGGTGCAGCTGAGTGGTTGGAGTCATTAATGGTCGAGTCGTTGCCTGCTATCTCCTTACCCCTTCCAGCGTTGTCATTTAGTTGTGTCTTCTCCCCATGTAGCTCCCCTTCTTGAGTCTCTTTCTTTGCCTTTGAGTTGTGCAGAGCTGCCTCACCGTTCCAAGTTTCCATTTCTTCTTCATCTTCCCAAGTGGTAGCCTCTTGTGGTAAATGAGACCACTGTACCAGAAGTTGTTTTCTGGGTTTGCCTTGACGCCAAATTGTTCGGGTGGCCAATATTGCACTGGGTGTGTGTTCCAACTCACTCTGTTCCACCGCTAATGGAAAGGTGGGGACTGGTTTATCAGTTCGATGATGAAATGGCCGTAGCAGTGAGATGTGGAAAACCGGGTGTAACTTGGCTTCTGGTGGAAGATGTAAACGGTAAGCGACGTTGCCTATCTTTTCTGCAACTGTGTATGGACCAAAGAATTTTGGTGCTAACTTGTGTGATGATCTGTGTCGTAGGGAAAGCTGACGATATGGCTGTAGACGAAGAAGGGCTAAATCTCCTGGTTGAAAGGTAAAGTCTTGCCTCTTTTTGTCAGCGTGTGTTTTCATGGTTTGTTTTGCCTTCTTTAAATGCTCACGAAGATTTTTCATGACTACCATTCTTTGGTCGAGTGTGGAGTCCACAACTTCCAAGGATGACATGCCCAACGAGTACCGCAAGGAGCACGGAGGTGGTTTGCCATACGTTGCTTCGAATGGAGATGTGCCTATGCTGCGGTTGTATGCTGTGTTGTAGTGATATTCTGCCAAGGGTAGGTGCTTTAACCACTCATTCTGTTTTTCAAATGTATAAGCTCTGAGATATTGTTCTAACGTTCTGTTGACTCTCTCTGTTTGACCATCCGTTTGTGGGTGGTATGCAGAACTGTAGCGGAGTTGTGTTCCTTGGAGTTGAAACAGAGATTTCCAGAAAGCACTGACAAAGATTGGGTCACGGTCACTGATAATGGATTTGGGTGGGCCATGCAACTTGCTGACATTATCCCAGAAAGCTTGTGCGACTTTGGTGGCTGTGTAGGAGCTTGGCAGTGGAATAAAATGAGCACCTTTTGTCAAACGATCGACCACAACGAGAATAACAGAGTATCCTTGGACTGGTGGCAAATGGGTGATGAAGTCCATTGTTAGCTCAGACCAGATTTTCTTTGGCGTTTCAAGTGGTTGTAGCAGACCATACGGTGAGTGATTTATGGGCTTTACGCTTTGGCATATGTCGCAAAATTTCACAAACTCCTGAACATCTCTCCGTACTGTTTTCCAGGTATAAAACGTGCACACGCGAGATAAGGTGCGACAGACTCCAGCATGTCCTCCTAAGGGTGAAGAGTGGAATTCGTGCAGCAAACTGGGGATCAAGGAAGATTTTTCGGGAATAAATATGCGGCCTCTATGCAGCAGTAGACCATTTTGAATATCCCAGTTCCCCTTTTTTACTTTGGATGACTGTATCTCCCCTATTATTTTTGTAGCATAGGTATCGCTGTGTAGCTCCTTCTGTAATACGGAAACATAGTGAGTTTGTGGTGTGGAGAGTGATGTGAGGTGCGCAGAGGGGGACCCAATATCCCTTGGTAGCTGTTTGGATAGACCATCCGCAGCTGCGTTAGTAATGCCTGATTTAAAAGTGATCGTAAAATTATACCCCAGTAACTTTGCCAGAAATTGTTGCTGTTCTAGTGTCTGTATCACTTGATTCATCAGGTGGTGCAAGCTCTTATGGTCCGTTCGTATGACGAAAC